ATGTACGCTGCTGGTACGGTGACGGCTAGCGGGAGCACACTGAGCTTTGCACGCAACGAGGGATTGTCCCCGCGGATGCTGTCTGTGGATATCCCGTTTCTCCCTGGAACACACCTGAAGGCGGCATGCAACAGTGTTGGCGGGAGAGTGCTGACGACGGCGGCTGAGTACGCTGCGGCTGGTTTCGGCAACGCCGCGCGCATCGAAGTTGTTGACTGTGACACGTGCGACAAGGACGCGTACTGCTACGCTCCCGGGACGGCGTCAGCCGCCGAGGAGGGTGACGAGTGCGTGTGCAATTGCGGCAGCAGCGGACATGGTGAGGCGTGTGTGCCTGTGGAGAACGTCACGCTGCCGCCCGCCCCGAGTTCTCCGTCGTCGTTTGTCCTCGAGAATACAACGGTGCGATCGACGATCGTTGTGCCGACTGGCGTGAGCGAGGTGACGCTGCGCCACGTGGAGCTGGACGGCGTGCATACGACGATCTACGTGGCGTCAAGGGTGGTCCGCGGTGTTCGGATTGTCGTGCAGAACGTGTCGCTGCGCAATGGGGCCGTGCTGTATGTGATGGGCGGCGCTGGTGGCCGGCGCCTGCGAACTGTGGCGCAAGGGGAGACTGCTTACGATATCGATGATGACGACAGCCGTGCGGTGCAGCTGTCGATATGTGGCGTGGTTTCGTTCAACGGTGCAATTGTTCTGACAGGCACGTTCCCCGCAGGGTCTGTACTGACCATGACGGACTCGCTGATGATCACTGCGGCGGCGACGCCGCTTGTGTACCTTCCCGGTTCGCAGGCTGCGCAGTATTCCCCTGTACTGGTGCTGTCAAACCTGCGGCTTGTGCAATCTGTGCTGGTACTACACGGGGTTTCCCTGGTTGCTGTGATGGCGGGCGGACGGACGGTGGTCGCGGAGGGTGCGGCGCTGGAGCTCACTGGCAGTGGTGTGGCGCTGGACGCAGTTGTGCTTGGCGGCGAGGTTGCTTTGTACGCTGGCGTGCGGGTGACTGCATCGGATGGCTCCGTACTGCGAGTGTCAGAGAGCAAGGTGTACGCTGGGCGTGGTGTGGCGCTTGACATGGGCGTTGCGGCGAACGCGTCTGCTGTTGTTGTTGGCGACAACACAGGAGCAATGAGTAGTGGTGCGCTGTTGACGGTCCAGGGGGTGGCATCATTTGTGTCCGGCTCGTGGCTGTCACTTCGCGGCAACCGCATTTCCGGCAAGCTTCTGTCACTGCCATCATACCCATCCAGTGCGGAATTCGTGGAGAGCACGCTCACGCTGTACGATAACAGAGGCAGCGGGTCCGATGTGATGGACGGCGCCGTCGCGCTGGGGAGCGCTGGGCGCAAGTTTGTGGTTGGGTGTCTGAGTCTCAACGGACAGATATTGCAGCCGAGGGAGTACCAATCCGTTGGTATCACCGGCGTGACGCGCACCGTGGCGTGCAACGCGTGCAACGTTGACGTGAGCTGTTTCCCTGGCGCTACGAGGTCGATGTCTGAGACGTGTCGCTGCCGCTGCACGGAGGGCGGGTACGGGCGCGACTGTCTGCCGGTGTACCTGCCGCACCCGGACGGCTGCAATGCAACGGGACCGAAGCCGGAGCTGAGCTACACAGTAACGCTGACAGAGACGCGCAGCATGACGCTGACATCTACGCTGACGGTGCCGACACCTACGGCGACCCTAACCGTGACGCGCTACAGCCCGACATACTACGGGCCGACGTTGACGCGGCAGCTGACTCCCACGGCGACGCTGACAGAGACGGTTTTCGTGACGCCCCTGCCGCCCCGCACAGTCACGACGTCGTTGACGGTGAGTGTGACCCCGTCGATGACCGACACGGCCGGGCATCGCAGCGTGGCGTGCCCCACACTCCGCGTGTCAACCAACGCGCACGGCGGTGGCCTCACGCAGAACGACATCCGCAGCGGGGGCGCAGTACCGACGTGGCTGCTAGTGGAACTGCCGGCGCCGTTCCGGTGGGCGAGCGACCCGCAGCTCACTACGCGCCTGAGATTCGTGCTGCGGTCAGCTGTGCAGCCGAACGGGTTCAGCGGCCCGTGGGGAGAAATGCTTCGCAACGCAACATGGACGCGCAACGCCACAAACCCGTACAACGTGCTGGAGCTTGCTGTGCCTGTGTACGGTGGCTACTTCATCGGTGCTGATGAAACAATATTCATCGAGTGTGAAGCGCGGGCGGTGTACGGCGAGTGCGACGGGGTGGTGCTCGGGTCCTTCACAATTGCGTCAAACACACCGCCTTCCCTGTCGAACGCGCTCTCTGTGATCGATGGTGTTGTCGCTGGGGTGACGGTTGTCGCTGTCGTTGTCACTGGTGGACTCGGATCGTCATGCCGGTGTTACCACTGTTTTTGTGATGATGTGAAGTGCTCTGGTGTGGCCGGAGCGAAGGGGGATTTGCCTTTGGTGCACGCATTTTGTATTTTTTCTTCCGTCCTTTGTTTTTGTGGTGTGAAGAAAAGACAACTCGTACTAGTTGTATTTAGGCTTAGTGAGACAGTTTTTTTTTTTTTTTT